GAGAAAATTGGGGGGGGGGTGGCATGGATTTGATTTTATGGAGCATCAGTAACGAATATAAGTGGAATGAAGGATAATATGAATATAATTTATGTACTGCCTGTATTACGATGTTTTGATCATGGAGGAGGGCCCAGCAACTTCATTTCATTAGGCAAGCGCTTCATCGTATTTGAGAATCGTTGAGAATCTGCTGTCTCAGAATGCATAACAACATTGTATTAATTCGAAACAAGCTGCTTGAAGCACCAGGAAAAAGTTTTTTTACCCACTTTCGTAAGAATTCGATGACTAAATTAAGTGTAACATTCTTATCTCCTGGTCAAGATAGAAATAATCGAATACCATTTGCTGTATATGAAAATCTGTTGGTCTTTTGATAGTGTCTTCTAAGTGGTTTGATAAGTAAGTTTAGACTGGTTCGTTCAGAGCCGTGTAATGGGTATCATCGAGAAGATTCAAGAGATCGAGCGGGAGATCAGCAGGACGCAAAAAAATAAGGCGACCGAATATCATCTTGGTCTGCTGAAGGCTAAGCTAGCGAAATGTCGCCAAGAACTGTTGCAACCGCAGTCGAAAAGCAAGGAAAAGGGCGAAGGCTTCGATGTGATGCGCAGCGGCGATGCCAGGGTGGCGCTCATCGGCTTTCCGTCGGTCGGCAAGTCCACTCTTCTCAGTTTGCTGACCACTACGGCTAGCGAAACGGCTTCCTACGAGTTCACCACTCTCACCTGCATTCCCGGCGTTATTCAGTACAAAGGCGCTAATATCCAGTTGTTGGATTTGCCAGGTAAGTGCCACAGTTTCTGTTTTTTTAATCATTGCTGTGGACATTGTTCGATTCGTATATCCTTTGCATCTTGTTGTAAGATAAATCCGCTAAAATGTATAGTATATAGTATAATATATGGTATATACTGCTGTAGTAAAGCCTAGTATAGTTTGGTACATATATTATATTGTGTATGTATAGCATATCATTCTATGCGGTGGATTGTTTTAGAGATGAATGACCCTGCTCCCTGATTCAGTAATAGACACCGAAGAACTGAATGTTTCTTAATTAGTTGCTTGGCTGCTTCCATGCTTAGTTGTTTACTCACCTGTTTGCTTACTTAACTTGTCCAAGTTTGTATTTACTTATTTACTGCGTCGGTTTCTTACTAATTTTTGTGTTTACACATCGGCCCGTACTGAATGCCTACTTTCTTACATTTACGCTTACCTTATTTTTGCTGCATCAGAATGTCGATACTACCCGCTGATCTTGTACCATTACACTGTACAAGAAAATAAGTCAGTAAGCACGTAAGTAAGAAGGTAGGTAGATGCTGATAGGTCTTTTGATTCCATAGCTGGCAGCACAGAAACAAGAAAATATTTTATTCATAGGTATGCTTACATGTTGAACGAAGTGGCATCGATCATTTTTTTCCTTATAGTAAATAATTATAAAAATAGATAAGTAGTGAGTGAATAAGTCGTTCAGTAAAGAAGTAAATTACGAAGTGAGTAAATAGAGCAATAACTAAAAAGGAGAAAATTAGAGAAATGATTCAAATCGATAGTTAATAAAGGGTGAACGGCTTCAGAAAATAGGAACCAGCTGGTGCATAAATCCGTAGGCAGATAAGTAGGTGAGTACTCCTGTCAGTCACGCAAAAAGTAAGGAAGCAAATGAGTAATTTGATAATTCAGTCATTAGGCTAGTAAGACAATTAGTTTGAACAGAACGGTATTTCCTTTTGCTAAAACTTATGTGCTAATGAAGAGTACTTATATTTTCTTGCTACATGAAGGCCTGGAAGTAATACAAGAGCCTGCTCCTGTTGGATGAGGTGGTGGTGTTGCCCACCCACGACTCGCCAATTATGTATATTTGCGAGAAATACTAGGCTGCTCTGAATCCTTTGGGTTTGATGTAGTTTGGGGACACACTGGCAATGCTTGACGAAGGTTGTTACCTTGACAGAACTATTCTAAGCAATTACTCTCCAAGAGTCATTGAACGGGATCGTCATCAAGATCTTCATGGCCAGCCATACTGCAAGAACATTCTTTTACTTACAAAGTGTAAGTGCTATTACCCAGAATACGAATCAAACTCTCCTGGTTTATGCTCAGAATGAGTCAAAGTTAGATGAAGGTCAAGACTAAATTCCATGTAACACAAGGTTGCTGGCCTTTGCCTGGGCGCAGCTTCACTTAGGACATTCTGTGTAAGAGATATAATGCAAACGATGGTCCTTAGTAATCCACTAAAATTGAAATGAGGCAGAAATTAATGACTACTATGTACTGTTTGAAATATATAATATATAACAGTGATGGCATTCGCTTGCCTGTTTAAGATATAAGAGAAATAAAATTCGTTTAATTCTGAAAATAAATGTACTAAAAATAAAGCAGTATATCCTATGTTTGGCGTAGCTTCCAAGAGTGGAAGCTTTCGATACCGTCGTTGCATAAATTATAGATCAAAACAGCGAAAATGTAGAGTGTAAAGAGGAAAAATGTATTTCTTACTTTACATCGACACTGTCGT